TTCCTGTCCTGTGGGCCGGCCTCGTCTCCGTCCTTCTGGCCTTGCGGCGCGCCTCCAGCGGCTCCTCCCGGACCTGTCGGGGCGCAGTGCTCTGCAGTTCCTCCGCGCGCTTCCCTCTTCTGTTGCGTCTCGGTCTCCAGGTGGGCCGTCACTCTCTCTCTCCTTTCTGTCCCTCGCTCGCTCCGGCTCCTCGCTCATCGCCGGCTGTCGCCTGGAGTCTCTCTCGCAGGGTCTACGCCACACCAACCACCATTCAGGAGGGCTGGGCGAACACACCGCGTGGGGGGTCCAAAGTAAAGTACAAAAAGGTTATGAACGCGCACGCTTCCGCACTTGAGTTCCAGTATCTGCGCTGAATGGGATCATATTTGGTTAGCACCGCATACTCGGAGTTACTCATTGCTCATATACCCTCCTGTCCTCCTCTGCCCCTTTTGGGTTGTTTTGCCTAGGGATCTGCGCATTATACGAAATTGGTAATGGAACGGAGTGTAACTTACACAGATCATTGGCAGACTCAGTCAGACATACGGTGCCCATTAGTGGTTATAGAGGCCCTGTGTGGTCCACTTTATCCTGCTCACTGACTACGATTGGAGTGGCAAATTAGCTGTGCGAGTGAGGTAAACTAACTAGTTTAGCAGCTTTGAATTATGCATACATCATACATGAATGCGTCAGATTTTAGGCACTCATGAGAAGTCTACAGGCTCTGTTAATTTAGGAGCAAGCACCGTGTAATTATTACAAACATATCAGATACATTACACGATCAATGGTGCTTTTTCTGACTTAATTTTTGAAACAGAGCTAGAGCGCTTTGTAATGATTTTATACTTTTTCTTTCTTGTGTTTGTAAATTATAAGTTTTTCTCCTCTGCGAAAACGATTGATGTTGTGGCCTTCAGGATAAGTTCTTACAGATGCTTTATAATATATTATTTTATAAGTACATTTACTCTTTATCATTCAATCAATTTCAAAGAGCTTTTCGTAATTTTGCTCATATACTTATCCATTATGTATTCAACAATCACAAAGGGACACAAAAGTTCTGTTATATCTCAAATGTTTCTTTGCATTGTACCATTGGAAGTACAATTTAGAAATATTGATGTATAGTAGATCACATCTTTTCAGTTTTGTGTGTTTTATTTATGATTCCACGAGTGCTAGAAAAATGAACGGACTTTGAGACTTTTTGTTCTTCAATTGTACATCCACATGCTCCTTATTTGTTCTAAAATTACATTTTTTATGCTCAATTCATCAATTGTATTGTATATTTTGCTAAAATCGTCTAGAGCAATCAACAAGTAGAAATCTGGCAGACGTGCAGAACGATTACTGAAATATACTACCGAAGGTACTCTCCAAATGGTTTGCATACCTCAGCTGCCCTTTCGGAACACACATCCAAACGCTGTGGTATCGTATGAATTATCTCATGTTTCATATTGTTGAAAATTTACCTTATTTTCAGTTACGACCTAAGTGAATGCGTATCACTTATTTTTACCATCATTTCGGTATTTTTTCATAGTTTGATTTGAGAGTGTATTTGCGTGAATCATAAAGATGTGAAAGAAAAACAGTCTGGCTTAAATTTTGCCTTGGTTTAATTCGCAAGGGGTTTAGGATCCTAGGCAGTTCATCTGGGACGGAGAACACCACATAATTAGCTTATGAGTCCACGTTAGAGTGGTCCTGCTTCGCACCTAAAAAGCCAATTACTACTCCATTTGGCTTAGATGCTGATCGCTCTCGACTTTGAGGTTTACTCGTCTTTCGTATACGTCTACCAGCATGAACAGTCGCTCCTTGTGCCTCTTCTCCTCTTCCATTATCTTTGACGCAAGCATTCTGTGTAATTCGTTTTATTTACCATATTTGTTTTTTCTACTTTGGTCCTAGCACTTTCAATCCTGAGCTGCTCTCTGACCGTTTGTTCTTCAGAGAGTCTCATCTCTTTTTGCAATCTTCTACTATACCGAAAGAGTTCTGTAGGTGGCTGCTTGAGGTGTTACCATGGACCACTATAATTCGAGAGTCCTTTGCCTTTCTCATTATTGAGAAGGTAGGGGTGGCCCATTCCAGCCCTCCTCTCCGTCTTAAAGAGTTTTACTTATACTAATGTCACTAAATTATCACCTGATCTTAGTCTCTTTAAATATTGCTGTAAGAGAATGACTTAGCCTTGATAGTATATTACAGGAAAACGTTTATTTGTCTCGATGATTGGGATGGCTTGAAAGCCGACGATTCTGAGCATTCGGCGAGTGCTGGGCCTTCAGGGTCTGGCGTCTACCTCTTGACCACATGGACGCCGTCGACCGCGGCGACCGGAGTGTGCAGAGAATCACATGGGTGAGAGAGGAGCACGGAGAACGGGGGCGCAGGTGTCAGCTCTTGGCATAGTACGCAGCTCTCCAGGACTAGATAAGAGTCGTTAGAACCTCGGCAGCGCCCCGTAGAGTGCGAGGTATCGCTAATCTATTCTAGCAGATCTGCTGCCATGGACCCAAACTCCTCCACTACACCTTACCCTCTGCCACCCTGCGCACGCATTTGGAACTTACATTTAAACATGAGAGTTGTTATTGAGTACTTAAAGCAACCATATCCAAATCTAGGCATATCATTTCTCACGTAGTCATTTCTAATTCGCTCTTTCTCCTTCTTCTCTTCATCTTTAAGTTTACGAGTGACCACAAGCTTTTCATAAAAATAGACCCCCTATATAGCTTCTTTTTACTTTTCGACTTGTTTTCTCTTGATTGTGCGTCTATCAGCGTTATCATCTTTATCACTTTTTGTTTTCGTTATTTTTAAATATGTGAACTTTCCAAAAATACAGTACCCTTTATAATAAGGTATTACTTATGAAATCGACTACAAATTATATTAACTCCCCCTCACTGTACCTCTGTAGAGATCCTATTCTAAAATATCTCATATTACACAGTTATTGTTATATACATAGCACACATCACTGAGACTGGGGTTGTATATGTTTACCCCATCCATGATTATTCTAATATCATATAATATCATAATATATTCTATGTATAGATTAATAATACAAATGATTATAAACTATTTATATATCCATATATAGATCATGATATAAATACTAAAAGTATACAATACTATATATGTGTATAGTAATTAATAATATCAGTGACTGTATACTCGTTACAGGGATATATACGTAGATAGTCTTAACACAGACTATGATACGACTCATACCGAATTTAGTGATATTAGTGTAAATTTATTTAACGTTACAGACTCCGAAAATTTATATATTCATCTATGTACCTAATATATATAATGTAGATATATATTACATATAATGCCATAAATTATT